TGCTTCTTCTGAAGCTAAGTAAGACAAGTTACTGTTGCGTGCTTTATTCCCATCAAATAAGCTCAGCTTCAACTGAGCTTAGATTAAGCATGCTCAAGCATTCATGTCCACCCAACAGCATGTTTAAATTTGTGCAAGAGCGAGCTTGGCTCGACCACGGCTAAAGACGGTTGACGACTCAAAAACCAAACTACTTGCATTAGGGTCAGCGGCCAAAGACGCTTGTAAGACTAATTTGTTATTTTCCCATTTTTTGCTTGATTGATAAACACGTTTTTTTCATCCATTAATTATTGATAAGGTAGGAGAAACCAATACTTTGTTATTATTATCGCCTTATGTGAATGTGGAAAATGACGAAACGAGCCTGCTACAGTGCCTGCCGAAGCGAAGCCAAGTTTATGATTAGTACTTAGACCTTGACCATTTCTCGACCAAATTCAGTCCACAGTGAAGAAACCAAATCACAGTGCAAACAAAACGTGACCGTTTATCCCCATTGGTTTCAGTTTCGAGTTCGGTTTGAATCGCCTGAAGCAATTAAGTTTTCACCTGTTAGGCTATTTGCGACTGGAAAGTGAGACGCATGTGATCAATGGCTACTCAATAACGTAGACTAGTCACTATATATCTTTCCAAGAAGCTGAAAAGGAGATTTGGTACAGCCATGTTTACAATATTCAGGTGAATTGTTGACAAAACGCCCTTGTTTTAATTTCTCTTCTACGAGTTCAAGAATAAAGGGGCCGATACAGAAAGCGAATACATGCTGCAATAATTCAACCGAATAAACCTAAACAATTCTCAAAGCTCATCACCAAAAAAAGCCAGACAACAAACCCTGATAGACCCTCTTTAGGTAGTAAGCTCCATGATAGCACCAACAATATCCCCATTGTGTGTCTTGAGAGCCTTCACGGCCTTGCTCCTCGAAACTCCAGCCTGGGTCATCACCAAGTCAATGTCACGGGGGCTCAACCCCATTCTCGAAATCGATCTCTTCCTCTTCTTCATCAGCCTGTGCTGCTGGGGCTGTGTGGCTGAAGTGTCGGTCCTGCCCATCACAGATCCCATGTCAGGTATCCTGAACTGCTGGGCAGCTTGTCTGCACAGTTGTGAGCTCAAGTCTTCAATCTTCGCCTCCCCAAATATGACATAAGTCTCAGAGTGAGGGCTCTTGAAGACATCGGGCTTTGAGATGAAGAATAGGACCCTGAAACACCAGAATTTGTTCTTAATAACATGCCATTGTTTATGTAAGCAAAACAATTTCAACTATAAGCGAACTAAGACCCTCCATTTTTCAGATTCATCTATAAGTGGATCTTCCATAGCCACCGGACACCATTTAGTGCCATCTATCAATGTGACCCACACAATTCAGATTTCATCTAGTTTTGCTAAATTATATAAAGGATGAAGTATCAAATGCATGACAGAGAATTGAAAGGAAAAGTACTCCGCGTTCTGCTTAGTTCTTTTGATTGTGACCCTGCTTACACCAGTTACACAGGTTTCATGCCCAGCTTCAACATTGCCTTCCGACTCTTCTTCTCACTTCTGCTCTGCTTGAACCCCCATTTGCACCTGCACATTCATGTTGTTTGGATTCTTAAATCCCAAAGCAGCAGCTGACAAAATCAAATAGAAATTTGCATTTGTAGGAATTTTCAAGAAGCTTCAGTAAAACAATCCTACATGGCTCAAGCAGACTGCAAGTATATACCGTACAGAGACCCAAAAACTGCACCAATAAGCTTGAGCCAAAACATAAAATCCAATTATACTCACTGAAACAACTTCCTGATTCACATACTAAACCCAAAGGGAACCAGCCTTCAGCGAACTATAAAGAAATTTAAGACTTGTGTTTGTATGTTTGCATCCAGTGAGCTAATTAAACCAATCCAAAAGCAGAAAGTTTCATATCATGAAATCTCTATGTGGTTTACTGAGTTGATTTCTAACTAAAACAGAAACCAAAGAACTGTCTTTCTATGGTCTCTATCAAGCGTGATCTCTTTTACTAAAAGTACAAATTAGCAAATCTGAGCAGGCCCTCGCCACACCCAACACTCTATCCCACAAATAAAAAGTAGCACACATCTGTATCTTCAGTTAAACAGACAAACTTAGTATCACAATCATTGCTCTCTGTTGAAAATGCAAAAGTGGAAACATTCGCAACAGCGACACCCCTTTTAGAGATGAAAGAATGGCTGGGATTATCCTACCCACCTACAATGATTTCCCTTGGACAGAGCACTTGCATTTGCTCCACCTAAACTAGAGTAGGCCAGTAAGTTCAAAAGAACTTCATCTGAAAAAATCAACTTTCGCAATACGACTTCAACAAACACTAGACACCCTCCGAAGGTCACACCTCAGAATTCTCCCGAGCCATCCCATTTGGCGAAAAACAATCCCCTCCGATTCAAAACAATCCTCCTCAAACACATGAACAAACTCCATTCCCAATGAAAAATAGCGACCGCCCGTATACGAATCAGCAAACTTCAAACAGCTACAAAGCCAAAACCGAGCAAAATCACACAAACACCTCCCAAAAGTAAAGACCAAATGAATTAACAAAAAAGACCCTGAGCGATTTGCATCTTCCTTATCATCGTCGTCGTCGTCATCATCCTCATCGTCGTCCTCACCTCGTCCCATATCGTCGTCCTTCACGTCCTCGACAATGGGTTCGTCGTTCTGAAACCAAAAAAACGAACAGTTGACCGGAACCCAACCACCACCCCCTCCGCCCCCAGGCGTTCCGCACCCAGCAGACGGGAAAAAGCTTGCGAATTTGAAGTACCTGAGGCTTCTTCTCAGGCTCGAGGACCTGCTCAGTCTCAGGTCCGGCAGGTTCGACGACAGAAGCCGGTGACATTTCACCGTGCGGGGAGGACTGCGAGTTCGAGAGAGAGCCAAGAGCTGAAAGAAGGTGAAGCGATAGGGTTATGGACTGTTACGAGATTTACTTGTTCCAGAGTTCTGTCCGTGTCAGCGGTCCCGGATAAGGGTTTGCTTCAACCGGGTCGGGTCGGGTCGGAGTCAGGTCGGCCCTCCATGAACATTTCTGCTTACATCAATTTTTTGCAAATTCCGATTTATTAATCAGAATTCAGTACATTAGACTTGGTCAGATGTATAACAAGATTCGTCCACTAAATTGCCTAATTCCCCCTTTCATTTTCTCCCTCTTTTTGTGATGACGTGGAATTTCAGATTAGGTGGATACCACTAGAATGCCCTTGTTGACGATCCTTTACTCAGAAGCAGGTATCTAGGGTTCTCGAACGATGTGATATCTTATACAAACTTGATGATTTTATGAGCCATCATATTGAACTTCCGTATATTTAGTGTCACATGAGCCCATATAAATTGAAGCAGATCCAACTATTATATTTCCCAATTAATATTGTTTTAATGGAACTTGTGTAAGCTTGCCAAATTCAAATGAATAACGATTCATTTTTATTGTTATCGGACCTAAATCTCCGATGTTCAATTCGTCGATAAGCGTGTGTTTGTTAATTGTCTATTTTGTAACGCAAGATGTGTTCGTGATACACACGTCGCAATTTGTTTTTTAAATTAATTCTCGGTCTCGATTTCGCCCATACCTCGTTATATTCTATTCATTGCATTTTGTGCGTTTGTATTAATCACTACAGGCTCAAAGCGAAACCACATCACTACTTTTCAAGAGAGTTAGTAACACTGAAGGTATGGTAAGCAAATAACGGTTCAAACCGTTAAGCCGAATCAAACCAAACCATTTCAATAAAAATGGTTCCAAAGCTGAACTAAACCCGTCATTTGTGATTTTGGTTGGTTTTCAAGAAAAGTAAAGCCAAATCGAACCATGAAACTATGTTGTATAGCCAGTAATTTTCTTATCATTTATAGATGAGCTAGCACTTTTTTTAAGAAGAATTGATATTCATTGTGAATTTATGAATTGTGTTGTAAGTGTAGACTTTGGTTTGCTTCATGGAATGAATGCATCTTCTGAACTTAGTCAGTGAAAGTTTAACCTCATGATAGGACCCTAAAAAATACGGAGAAAAAGATGAAAGAAGAAACAAACGGTTTATTTCGGTTTCCAGATTAGATAAGGAGTAACAAATATGGTTCGACCTGGTTTGGTTCCTGACTACATCAAATTTTGGTCTGGTTTCAATTTCTCTTTTCTCAAATGGTACATGAGCGTTTGATTTGGTTTGAGCACCAGACCGCACCAAACATACACGTGTTCACTTATAATCGGGGAAACATATCAGCTGGCAGCGCATTATTTCGATGAATCATTTCTTCAGACAGACAGAAGATCATGTAAACTATAATTTAACACAGGCTTCAAAAGGAACTAGGAAGCAAAAAATACCTTAAACACAGAAGCAGAATTTGCAGGTTGAGAGCACAAAATCACTATGCCATGTTGACAGAATGATATGAAATTCTCTAAGCACACAGTTTTCTCAGCTCCCTATGGATATTTTGCACTCTGGTTAACATTTAGGCATAGCAAATGGAGCCAGTCCCGGACGGAATATGAGCCGCGAGCCGTTGGACCAAATATAACAGCATGTGACCAGCTTCCCTGATCTCCATTTAGCTTACCTGAAGCAGCTCGCAAATTCAAGTGTCAAACTCATGCATGTCCACTTTCAAAATCTGGCAGGCAAACAATGAATTTTAACTAAAATAACGATTTTGATCCCACCAAATTCTGAAATTGGACCTTCTGCTTCAAAACGGATCAAATGACTGTACAATCAAGTTCCTTGATTCCAAAAGCTGTCCTATACAAATTACCCTTTCATGAGCACAAGGTCAATGGCGGAAACCAAAGGGCAAAAATAGGGACATGATCAGCTGATCAACAGAAGTGCAAGAGCATGAATTGATCATCAGAAAGGAAAGAGCACAATGCTGCTCACTGTATGCCGGCGAGATGCTATCAGAAGTATCCACTACTTTCACCACGAACTAGCAAGAAAACAGACAATATAGAGAGTCAACCCCAGTACCATTTATCCTTCCCTCTTTTTCCTCGATTTCTTCTGCCTCTTTGACTTCCACCTTTGGTCGTGCTCTGTGGCATCACAATGGCCTTTATTGGACCACTTCTTACAGGGGCAGCTGAATCGCATACATAGCAGTAGCACTGCATGAAGCAAAGCAAAAATGAACAAAGTTAGGATCGGTTCCATGGTTCAATTACAAGTACAAATGTTGAGAGCTAATATTGAGAACAATCATCTGGCCGCAGGATTCATGTGTGGTCAGTACCAGCTCGCAGTATCTTTCATGGGGCGTAGTTGCAAGAGGAAATTTCTGACAAAGATGCCTTGAGTGCAGGAAGTCTCTACAAACTACCTGTCCATAATCATCAGTAGCAACTAGCAATCGAAATGCTTAAATCATTATCAACTGAGAAAAGAAATAGTCATGGAAACACTCTTCAAAGATACTTGCACAAAATTTCAGGGAACCAAATAATACACAATGCAACATCTGACTAAGCTAGTAAAAAGAAGTGAGATAGGCATCATCATAAGCCGCAACTAGAAAATTGTGATTGCTTCCTGACACTATAGACTTGAAGTCCAGTCCCACGATCAATTAAATCTGTTCTCGACTTTCAAGTAATAGGGATAACAACTACATATGAGGATAGCACTCCATTCTCAAGCATAAAAAAGAAAGACACATACGACCCTCTCCGACGAGTTGAACTTTTTGAAATAGTCAATTATGCAGTCAACTCGAAATGGTATCCGGGTCAAGAGCCCATATAAATTTCTCAAAATCTTCTTTAGTTACCTCTCCCTTCTCTTTGTGCTATCGGTTTCAACTAGTCGCAGTAATCCCCAATTCTGACATTTGACAGGCTCTAACAATCCTAAGTACACCAAACACAGCTAATAAGCAGCTGCAGTTCAAATTATACAGTGAATTAATCGTCATCAAAATTACCTACTCTACCCAAGTATTTCCATGACTAGCTGAGTATATTCCCAACGATTCTCAACATACGTTATTCTTATCAGTTCGCCCACAAGCGAAACAGGACAAACATGGAGACCATCTTCGTCGAAACAGTCAAACCCACGAGAACATAGAGACAGCCCACAGATTCACTCGGCGGCAGCCAAACAGAGCACACAGAAAACCACAGTCAAGCACGAAACAAAGCGAAGCACACAGAAAAAGGAGCAGCTCGCGACAAGAGCACAGACACCTGTCCTTTCTCAGCGATGACGACGAGGTCCCTTGGACCCATCGTCGCCACCAGCCTCGGCCATCGCCACGGAGAGCCTGGAGATGCGGTCGGGCAAGGATTCGAAGCAGGATGAAGCAGTCCTCGGTCTCTTCAGAGCAGCTTGACGTCTTCGTCCCTCGTCACGCAGAGGACATTGCCTGATCCGGGCTCGGGTCACGCCGGCGTAGCCGGAGGTCGCCGACAACGGCGAGCACTTCGCCATGGTGTGAGGAAAGGGTTCCTCTTCCTGCGATGCGAGTAGGGTTTGGAGGGCGAAATGCAAGATCGCTGAATGATGGAGAGAGAAAAGAGAGGGAGTGGGATTTCGAACACTGGGGAGAGGAGATACGGTGACCGTTTGGCTCCACCACGCGAGTACGAGGATCCCCAAGATATATTTTCAAATGCTCATGCCATAAAAAAAACACCTCGAACCGGTGTACTCGTATTATATCTACCCAGATTAATTTTGTATCACCAAAACTCTCAAATTTGAATATTTGTGTCGCATTTATTCCCATTAATTTTGAGTCACAAAGAAATTCGACGAATACACTTTGTGCACATTTGCTCAAAAAATGATAAATCCGTATCACATTAACCTCAAATTGTGATAAATTTGAAATTTTTCCGGGGTAAGCAGAGATGGGTAAATTGATTTGGAAATGCATGACCTTGACAAGGGTGTACCGATTTGAAATTTTTGTGATGGGATAAATGTATACGCATTCACGGTTTTAAGTTAAATGCGGTATAGATGTACCGGTTCGGGAGTTTTTGTGACAAAAAAAATTAGTTATGGAGTAAGCGTGATTTGAGGTTTTGGTAATATTAATTTTATTAAGGAGTGATGTTTAAGATGTTATTAGGAATGGGCACTGAGCAGTGCTGTCCGTACCATACAGACCGATATGTCTGGAGGCCTATCTCGAGGCTGACCTGTTATCCTTTTGCTTTCAGGCCATTGCCTGACCCAAACGGGACATCTTTCCCCATAGCTTTGAGGTTGTGTCTCGATCTCCTACGTACGAAATCTAAGGGACTGGTTCCTATGGAGTGAAGAAGATTCACCTTGGTCTAGTTCCACGCCTTATGGCGATTGGACTAAGCCTTTCCATTGATTGAGCCCATGAAGCCAGGGCCTTTGATGCCCCCAGCGGTTAGTCGGCCGCCGACAGTCCGACCTCCGACCAAGATTAAAAAATTTCCTATAAAATAGAGGTCTCTCGCCTCTCATTTTCCATCTTCATTCTTCTCTTACAAATTTTCACTCTTTCAAAAAAATTAAAAATTTGCTGATGAACTCCACTATGCATTCTTGATTCCTAAGCCATTTGATCTTACAATAGACCTCTAAGCTATCCAATCCATTCGGATAGTGAGTCTGTGCCTTTGGCTGATAGTGGCACTGATTCTTTTACGACCCTGGGATGCAGGAAACTCTCTATATGCCCTCCACCAAAAGAAAACACAAAGAATTTCATGACTATAACGTGACCCTTGTGTCCCGAGATGATTTTTCGAAAATGCGAGGATAATAGTGGGCGTCTGCCCACCTTGAAGCGAAACACAGACACCCCTCCCCTTGGCGAAAATCCCTATACCTGAATGATGTCTTGCAGACTTTGTGGCGACAAACGTCCACTGTTTGAAAGACATTCAAAATCAAGTCCCACCCCAATGGTAAGAAGAAGGATGTGCGCGCGATACATGGAAGCACTTATCCAGCCAATTTAGATGTGGGATGGGCCGCTTGAGAAGAGCACCAAGACAAACATAAGCACTGAAAATACGCCGGGCCTGGGGAAGATAAACTAGTTCAATGGGTTGGTAAAGCTCGCCATCGAGCAACCCCTTTCGGCTTCGCCGAAGACGTGAGGAGTTCTTTCTACTACGTGCGAGGCGGGCACGACAACTGGATTTTGGGGACCCATTCCACGCGATCAATGAACACAAGGAATGGTTAATCTAACGTTCCCTTACCCTCCGAGCAGTGACATTAGCATATCAGGTAGTCACTTTTTCTGTTTATAACAATGTGACTTTGAACAATCTCCATATGGACCTTGTCTGCAGTGTACGAAGTACATTTCTGGATCGCATAACTTGACATGGGATGAATCTGAATTGCTTAGCCGTATCCAAAGAAGGCATATTTGATAATTAATTAAATTTCCCGAAATGCATGTTGGACTAAAATATTGACTCAATCATAGATGATGATTTTTTTAAGGCCTTGAATATGTAATTTTACTTAAATTCTAGGGTATAGTGTAGTGTTGAGAAGTTCCTCAAGAATCCAGGTTCGATTGATCAAAGTTGATCAAATTTAGTACAGACAACTTCGTCAACAATATATAAGAACTATATTACTTACCATCATTATATATCACAACTTTGATGAAAAAACCTATAAATATCTCATTGAATAACATCTTAGTTTAGATATTTGTGAATTTCCACAGCGATAACACGGATATAGATTTTTTTTCCTTCTACAATTGGAATTGACTCGTAATTAAGTTCTTGATGGTTGCTCGATTGATGTCTATCGCTGCAGCTCTATGATGAACCATTTGAATCTACACGAAATGTAAAAGATGTGGGTGTGAGCTTAAAAATCCTGGGGGACCTAAGTTCTAATTGCCATTGCCAGAATTCTTGCCACCTTCGCGTCTCCAGAGCCCACAACAATTTAGACCGTGAAAAGCTAGAGTACAAATGGACCATTTCCACTTCTTGCTCGAAGAGTTGGATTCATTAAACTAAAAGCTCGTCCAGAATATATAAAGACATAACGGAATATTAGACTGGCTTTGCTATCTCTACATACTTATTACTTCGTCTAATTCATTTTGTGTCCAAGACTCGACCTGGTCAAGAGAAGTAGGGGTATTGATTGGCTCGTGTTCTGTGGACGGCACACGTGAATAGTTTTGAAGGTTGGAACTTTTTGTGTCTGAGAGAATCAAGATTAGTGTATAGAACAAAATGTCCTAGGATATTGTGGCCAAAATCTAGATTTCCAAGGGCAAGAATATGGTCTGAGATAAAGTCTCAAAGTGTATTTGCTCAATTGTCCCGGTCCCTCTACTTATTTAACCGATATCAAAGAATGTAGAAGTGTTAGATGGCATGGTGATATCTCGGACGCCCGTCGCTGGAGCAAAGCCTTAGTGTAATGGTTACTCCAATAGCAAGGGGTGTACATAAATCAAGAGACGAGGAGTACATAACCTATGGAGTGCGTTTGTTTTATTGAAAATTTATGATAAAAAAATAATTTCCAACAGCGAATTATTTTCCAAGGAAAATTGTTAGTTTGAATT